AAAAAAAAAAAAAAAAAAAAAAAAAAAAAGTACCCAATGTTCATTGCGGCACTATTTACAATAACCAGGTCATGGAAGCAACCTAAATGCCCATCAACAGACAAATGGATAAAGAAGATGTGGTACATATATACAATGGAATATTACTCAGCCACAAAAAGGAACGAAATTGGGTCATTTGTAGAGACGTGGATGGACCTAGAGACTGTCATACAGAGTGAAGTAAGTCAGAAAGAGAAAAACAAATATTGTATATTAATGCATATATGTGGAACCTAGAAAAATGGTACAGATAACCGGTTGCAGGGCAGAAATTGAGACACAGGTGTAGAGAAAAACATATGGACACCAAGGGGGGAAAGCGGTGGGGTGGGGATGGTGGTGGTGGGATGAATTGGGAGATTGGGATTGACATGTATACACTAATATGTATAAAATGGGTAACTAATAAGAGCCTGCTGTATAAAAAAAAATTAAATTAAATTTTAAGAAAACTTGAAATTTGCTGCAGTTATGGTTGCAAATTGAGTCTGCTTATAACCATGGTTTATAATTGGCATGATTTCTATTAAAAAAAAAGAAAAGTACGCCATGGAAGGTTAGGCCTGGACTCATATACAAATAAAAACAAACAAGTGCCAAGCTGGCTGGTACTGAAAAATCTTGGACCTCATATACTAAAGGCAAACTTAAAACCAAGACTCCTTGATTGTATCTACTCTTAAACTCCAGTTCAAATAGCATTACATATTTCAAAGGTGACCTCAGAATATTCTGTGGAAGTGTTAACACAGGTGGATACCTGGAAGAAGTTTAAGACATTTGGGTGAAAACATCTATATTACCTTTATTTTTCATCTAATTTCATACTTCATTTCAATTCCTATTTCATTTTTGGTATATATAAAATCCTCTAAAACTTCCAGAAACTTCCTCCTTATCTAAAAGTGGAGATATCTTCTTTTCTTTTCCCAATAGCTTAAAACAATGGTTCTCAAACTTCAAAGTGCATCAGAATCACTTGGAGGCTATTAAACTCCAGATTGCCAGGCCCCAACCTTAGAGTTGCTGACCAGTAGGTCTGAGGTGGGCCTCAGAATCTGCCTTTCTACCAAGTTTCTGGCTGATGCTATGCTGCTGGCCCAGTGACCACACTTTGAAAACCACTGGCTTAGAAGACACAATTTTACTTAACCTAGTCCATTTAATTTTTTCAGTTTCAGGCTCATGTGAAAATCCCAAGGAACAAAAGATAATATAATAGTTTATACGTATCAAAGGTCTACACAAATGTTAGTTTTGGTAATTATAACTAAAAGGATGCTCGTTCTGACCCGGCAGGAACTCCCCGGGGTCTCCAGAGAGGCAATTTACCAAGAAGTGACTTTGTGGTTGGCTTAAAGTTAAGGATGGTGCTTTTTTCTTTCTTACTCCTTCTGCTGCCTTTCACATTCAGTGGGGTCTCCTATCTTACTAGAGATTTGATATTAAAAGCCATGACTTGGCTGGACCCATGCCTGAATCCATGTTACAACTTCCTGGGCTTTTATTAGACTTTACTGTATACCTGTTGAAAAAAGCCAGTGGAATGAAGGGAGGATGTACCTGGGGATCTACTGGTCTGAGCATGGGGGGTGTCCGAGCAGGCTGAACCCCACTGATGCTGAAGGACTCCGACCGCGGGGGCAGGTTGGGGTCTGATATCCTGTTGGCAACCTTGTGAGGCATGGCAGGGGAACTCTGCCGGTTGAGCCTTGACCGTTCTTCTACCTAGAAGCCAAAAAATGAAAAAAGAAAGAAAGAAAAAAGAGTACCTCAATGGATGGAAGCTGATTTACTTCCTAGTTACGATTTTCTGTAGTCACCTGCACAGCCATTTTGTATCCCTCTGATCAAATCACTTTAGAAAGCTGAAGCTCTCCCTATCTGCTCTGCATCAGAAATTTGCAAAAAGCTCTTTCTGTCAGAGTAAATACTAGCGTGAAGAACTCACAGAACACTTAAGCCATCATCCTTCCATCACCCATTATCTCGTGCTATTCCGTTGGCTGGGAATTAGGGATCTGCTTAAGAGTTTACCGTGCCTTAGTTGGAACACCATCCTGCTAATCGGTCACAAAGCCAGGGGTCAGTGAGGGAGAGAGGTAACTACGGCGGGCATTACGATTGCTTGGGGAAAATAGAAAACTGCTTTGAGCTGACTCATGGGACAGGGCAGGAAAGAACACAGGAGGGCTGGCAGGAGGATGAGCTGAGCGTACTCAGCGCCACTGATTTCTTCACATGCCCTACTCATGGGCAAGTGGGCCTCTCATTCAATAAGCATGGCCTGTCTTATTTTTTATTTATTTATTTTTGCGGTACATGGGCCTCTCACTGCTGTGGCCTCTCCCGTTGCGGAGCACAGGCTCCGGATGCGCAGGCTCAGCGGCCATGGCTCACGGGCCCAGCCGCTCCGCGGCATGTGGGATCTTCCCGGACCGGGGCGCGAATCTGTGTCCCCTGCATCGGCAGGAGGACTCTCAACCACTGCGCCACCAGGGAAGCCCTGGCCCATCTTAAACGGACTTCCCGTATCATTTTCTTTTTTTTTTTTTTAACATCTTTATTGGGGTATAATTGCTTTACAATGGTGTGTTAGTTTCTGCTTTATATCATTTTCTTTTTCTCTCTTTTTCTCCCTTTCTTTTCGGGTGTCTCTCCCAGCTCTCTAGAATACACTGTCCCAGCGCCTTCTTTCCATTCCAGCCTGGGCTCCACTACCTCCCTCTACCCTCCTCCTGTTTCTCCACACATGGCACTCATTCTTGCTACTCCTCCTCTCCTCTCCCTCCTCCAACCCTCTCTCCTTTCTGGACACTTCATTTCCTTGTCATTCCCTTTCTGCAGAGTCTCTCTCAGCCCAGAGGGGATAACTGATCAGAAGTGCTTTGCAGGGAAGGCTCTCTTTACAGGCAAAAGTTACCCTTGGTAACTTATTTGCTGCAGACAGACTGTGGCAGAGGACAAATTAAAGGAAATTTTAGATAAACAAAATGTACACTGCAAGACATGATTTAAAATCTTCGACAGCTTTAAGAGGTCTAGCACTTTTCTTCCAGGTCCACCTTGTCCTGCCCTTTATTTCTTTAGGGTCAATTTGACAGTTGTAATTTCCAAATTCACGGGGGCAATGCACCCTACCCTGATGGCCCGTAACTCTCTTCTGCTTACTCACTATCTTTGTGTTGCAAGAGCCTGTCATGGAACCCACATGCAGGTCCTCAAGACATATTTGTATGTCTCAGCGAAGAGCTTTTTTTAATCTATTTTACTTCCTGATTTGAAAGGAAAATTCAAAAGAGCTATTCTTTCCCATCCTCCCTACTTTATTTTGAATCTTCCTAGAGTCAGACTCAGTCTCATACACAAAATCAGTCTGTTTTTAAAACTCTCAAATCAACTACAAACATGTTAACATGTTAACATGTGCCATAGTGTAGAAAACCACCCTCTTGCCTCTACTTAGCGGTAATTTGAACACCTCTTCCCTGACCGTGGCTGTGCAGGGTACATACAACTGGCATCTAGTTGACTTTGGTTTGGTTTGGTTTGAAATTCCATGTCCCAGAAGCTTTGGTTTGGTTTGGTTTGAAATTCCATGTCCCAGAAGCTTATCACATACCAAATAAGATTAGCTGCAAAAAGCCAGGAATATAAACCAGAACATGTATACTTTGTATGTGTATGTGTGCAAAGTACTACATCAGCAACAATGGGCTATTATTGCATTGAGCAAAAGGAAATAACAAAGCCTGAATTGAGATAAGACCACAAAGAAGAGAAAGTCCTGCAAAGACAACCACAGATAAACTGAGACCAAGGCATGCAATGTATTGCTTTTCCAAATACTAGACTCTTTGAAAAGAAGGTGACTATTTCCAGATGACTGGAATTAGTCAAATATTAACCATTTTCTTATTTCCAGGGAAGATCATTAAATAGATAAATCACATGTATAAGTACCCCTCACTATCTGAACTCTTACCATCCAAACCATTGCTGTCTGAGGTCAGGAATCCAAGAGGTTTGGACTCATTTTCAGATAAATACCTGGCTATCCAAACTATAGCCACTTATTACCTGACATTTAGGAACCAAATATTATAAGGGAGTGAAGAGTACTTGCTATTATTGTTTTTTTAGCTGTAAAATATCCTCAGACTGTTTTAAACCCACATTCAGAAACAGCACATTAAAAATAAAAGTCTGTCCCCCGAGACTCCATCTTGAACAAAGAAATTATATTTGAGATAAAGAATTTTTTTGGCAACTGCCAGTAACAAGGCTCCAGTAAAGGCAGCACCTTTGTCTCCAATAGGACCGTGGGCCACACGGGCCCTAAAGCTGTTGTTAGAAATGAATGGGGCACAAAGTGGGGTGCTAATTTTCACAGGCAGTTAATGGGTTTGATTAGTCAAGTGTAGCTATCACTCATGTACTTCTAGTAACATTTGCTATGCCTTCTCTAAGTTAAATACTAAATCCTACCATGACTATGTTTCCGTTTGTGCCATCATAAATATATGGTGTGAATAATCTATTGTTATACTCAGCAGATTATTTCAGGATAAGTCCAATGTGGTGAAATTTCCTGGGTTGAAGTTTGTCCAAAGAAATTTGAAAATCTATGTGACAGGTGTAACAATGAGGCATCTGGCTACTTTGTCTCAAGAAAATCTGGCCCTAAAGTCTTTAGGAAGAATAATGCTGCCTGCTGCTTTTGCACCAAAGGGTATTGGAGCAAATATATCAAATTAAACATCCAAATAACAGTTTCAAATGGACAGAGGGGAAGCTGGCCCTTCTGCTTATTTTGCTACGGGGCAAAGGCCTGTCTCCTGATTCATCACATCTTATGTCTACTAACTGAACAGTGAGTGAGACAAAAAAGAAGGTGTTTTCCCCCAGATTAAGAATATTTTGTGATTAAAAACTCGCTTACAATCAAGATATGTTTCAGTCTGCCTTTCATGATACTAAAAAAAAAAAAAAAATCTATTACCTGAGTCTTTGCTCCAACCTCTTGCTGCCAAGAAGTTGTGAAATATCTTAAGTACCACCAAAAAAGAGTGTTCTAGTAGCATCAGATAAACAGTGTCAAGGTGCTAGAGCATAACAACGAGACATTTATAACAAAGGATTTCACACTTGACGGGATTATCAATAAATACAGAGAACAATACTAGGAGAGACTGATCAATTTTACTATAGAATCAGGTTTTTTTCTTATTAAAAGGATCATTTTAACATCAAAACTAAAATAACTTTGGAGAGGTTTGGAGAAGCTCCACAGAAATGCTGTACTATTTATTATAGCATTACGGGGAGAAAGAAAAAATAACTGTGGTCTCAGAAATAAAATTCTGCTCCAGGCAGGACTGTGTTATCCACTGGGTACTGAGAGTGATGTCTAAGGCCTTTGAGATATATAAAAGTTGCATGAATACAGACGACCTGAAAAGAAACACGTTAATTACAGGATTTGAAAAAATTTCAAAATAAATAAAAATACACTGAAACATGTATAAGTGTAAACATTATATCAATGTCAACTGTTAAATTGTTTTGTACATTTGAGAACAATTTATAGCTTCCAGTGTCTCACTTAGCAATCATGAATGATAGCTGCTGAGAGAGAACTTCAAAACAAAATTATGGAAGTAATTTTTTAAATGTTGACAACAAAATATATTTACTATGTCATATGGGTGCATTTTAATAATACTTTATATGACCGTAGGGTCTGTGGGGTTTACGAAGCTCTTAGAAGGCCTGCCTTAAGAGCTAATACGTGGTGAATTGAACACAACCGTATGGGAATATTTTTTCCCCAACTGGACAAAACAATTTGATTTTTGTCTTTACTGGCAATGTTGGAGGAAGAGAAAGAGGTCCAATGATTTTTAAGTCCTCGTTAGGTACTCTGACCCTGCACTCACTGGGCACATGAAGAATTGAGTCACGCTGTCTTTTGGCAAAACCACATGGGCAGATGGCTGCTGAGTAAGACTGGTGCTATCCCTTCTCTGGGGCACCTCTGAGGACAGGGGAGGCTCTCATTCATAGGGAATGCTTAAAATGTAACCTCGTCTAAAGATAAGGGCCTGGACTAGTTTTCCAAGATCTACTCCTAACCACTGATTGCACAGAAAAGTACAGATCCTCATGTGAATGGAGCACATAACTTAAAAGTAATGAGGCAAATCTTTGGCAAGCTGAGATGGGAAATTAAAAAGTGTGTATCTATCACCGGGGAGAGGTAAGTGGAAGAGATGGGAGATGCATGTGAAATCCCAACCAGAAACAACAGAGGCAAAACACTTATTCCTTGTGGGCAACAATGGCCTTGGGAGCAAAATAGAAATATGTAGAATCATGTATTTCATTTGCATTTGTACAGCGCCTACAGTTTCAATGGCACATTCACATACATGGTTGCCCAGGATCCTCCCAACCTTGAGACAGGAAGTACAGGTGGGGAGGCTGCACCTCAGGAAGACTATGAAACTTCCAGGTCACAAAGACCGTAAGTGGAAGAACTTGAACTCAAACAAGCTCTTTCCTATTTCCTGTCAGGTCTCTCTCATGCTAAATCTTAAGAGAGATAATCAGAAACTGAGGAAAGACAGGAAAAGAGCCATAAACTCTCTAAATAGTAATATGGGACCTCATATATAAAATAATTCATATAAAACAAGTGGAGAAGAGTTCTTATGTACAAGGATTTCAAAGTCCAATGGGCTGATGGGATATAAAGAGACATCCTGGCCCATCATTTGCCAAATAAAACCATGGCCAGATGACTGGCATGCATCAGAGAGAAAGAACATGATGAAGTGTTAAAAAAAATATTAAAATACCATCTCATGCAACACTCATGTAGACAGAGCATTCTGTCACTGCTGTGTGCTGGTGAAAATTAAAAAAAAATTATTGCCAGGCCGAGACAATCACATGCCATTATAAGAAACAGGAATCTGTACCATTAGAAAGAAAGGGCATTATAAGAAAAGGAATATCCATCTTTCAAAAAGTGCCAGTGGGAAAAAAAAAAACCTTCAAATTTTGCTGATGTTTAACAGAATATCATATGGATGTTTTCACAAAACAAATCTGACTTCCATTCCAATCTAGAAATGGCAGAGAATTTGAAAGGGGTGAGAATGCCCCCCACTCCTCCTTTTAATGGAGACATTAATGTTCCTTTCTGGCTGAAATCTGAAAATCAAAGTCAATGTAACATTTAGGACAACTAGAAAACTCAGTAAAAGGAGAGAGAGAAGAGCTCAAGATTTGCCAATAACCAAGTATTTTCATTTGTTCTTACCACATCCGACAGATTAATAAGAAAGGAAATGAGAAATGTGATGATTTATGTTTTACAAAATGAAGCAACGAAAACACAGAGGATGAAACATTATAACAATATTACACTGCTAATGAAAAAAATGTCGATTGGAAATAAGGAAAAGTAAGTGGATGGAAAAGTAATCAAAGAAGGAAAAACCACCCTGATGAGAAGGTATAGAGCTGAGTTAGAAAACAAATATGGGAGCAGATTACAGAAGAGGCTGCTGTGGGTGGAAGATGGCCAGGTGGTGTCTTCAGTGGCATATGGGGCAAAAAAGCCCAGACCCTCTATCACAGGAGACCATGGTATAGCTGCTGCCTACCCATCCCTGGTGAGGATATTTTCAAATTATATCCTCGCAGAGGATGCCTTTGAAAAAGAAAATGGTACCTTTTATTCTACCTCCAAAAGAGAGTTTAACCCAGGTTCTTTTTATTGGTTGATAATTAAGATACTGCTGAGCTAGAAATTCTGTCCATATCTAAAGTCTTGAAATGTATTTCACTGTCTGGCTACTTTCAACCCCATCTACCTCCTACTATGAAAAAAGAAACCTGTAAATAAAGCTCTAGAAGAAAAGTTCATACATTGCTGATTAGAATCATTGAGAGATCAGGAAAATAAGGATTCTCACACTCATTTTTATTCCCATTTTAAGAAGTGGGTGTTAAAAAAATGATGAATTAAACTAAAGCAGACAACTATTTGTACTTATTTGTATACCAGTTGCTCCAATCCCCAATTTAGCACCGTCACTCATTCTATCATCTAAATGTTTCATCTTTCTTCTAAAATATGAATACCCACTCTAAGACTTGGGAACTGGTTCATGGATAGGTGGTTAGTTGGAAGCTGGATTATGTTAAACACACCCAGGAGGATAGTATTAAGTCTAAAATCCTAAAAGAATGTTCCCACATGTCTAAAAGTCCATGAAGCCCAAAGGAAGAACTCCAGCTGTCAGGAAGCCAGGGACCTTGGAAGATGTCACCCACCAGAGGTGGCCCAGACTTAGGATGGCCCGGGAACCTCACATCAGGTGTGCTTGATGACACAGCCATGCTGTCTGCACTCCCACTGGCTATGTTTCCTTTGCTGCTAGGAGCCTGGCTGAGAAGCACAGGGGAATTAAGAGGTCTACAAAACTGCCCTGATGATATCTGCAAAGATTTGCCCCCAGGAACGGCATGGCTTCTGAAAGCTTGGGAACTGTGAATTAGTTCTGAAGAGAGAGGACAGGCCAGGAAATTTAATGATGAGGACAAATAGTAATTAGAAAAAAATGAAGTCAAAATGTTTAAGTTCAAATCAAAACATGCTGGGTAGAGGTGGAAAGAAGGAAGTGGAAACTGCTTTATGTTTCCCCCCCCTTTTCTGGTACATTTGTGCATGAGGGAGCTGCACAAGGGACAGAAGAAATTCTGGTATGCTCTGCAAGGTATCATGGTCTTCTCCAATGGGATCTGTTGGCATCCCTTTCCTAAACTCATGCTTGGGGCTGGGAGCACTGAAGGTCAGGTGGTCATGCATCAAAGAGAGGTCATTTAGTGATGCAGTACTTCTTAGAGGAGTCGAGGTACTTGTACGGATGCATGAATTCATGCCCCTCCTGCCCCGAGGTACACATGAGTCTCTAGGGCCCTCCTTACTTGCTGTAATGGACAACTGGGGGCTCATCACTTTGGAGATGCTGGGAGAGGACACACAAATGACCTTAAGTCCTGACTCTTGAGCTGGGCTACATCTTTGGGAGCGAGATCGCTTCGTTGATCTCACTGTGGTCCTTGAGGCTCGCTGAGGCTTCAGTTGCTCTTCAAGACCAAGTCTAATAGGATAAGCTGGTCCACCTTTCTTCCATGAGCGATGCTCAAACAGGGGTCTTGATCTGGAATCATTAATTTCTGCAGGTGCTACTGGCATTAGCTTAGGAGAGGCTAGTTTCTCAGCCTCTCAATACCTGCCATGATCATGAGCTGTGAGTCTGGCTTAGCTGAGGGTTTCAGCTTGATGTGGCTAAAGAATGGTTTAGCAGTGGCTGAAGGTGACACATCTCTGCTAGCCAGGAACCACATCAGCTGCTGTTGAACAGCATAGTGATTGCGCTTAGCTGGAAGAACAGGGGGTTTACTAAGGGGTTGGTGCTGTGCCTGGGAGTAAGATCACAAAATTGAATTACTGACCTGGGAGAAAGAGGCAGTTGTTACAGACATAGGTAAATACAAATCGCATTCATAGACTCTAAGGGAAAGTGATGAAAAACGTTCTTGACACTGAATGACTTTTCTCTACAGATTTAGTTTTTAAGTTTTCAAGGTTATTAGTTTTGTAAAAATAGTATAAAATCATTATAAAGGATTTAAACATAAATAAATAAAACATAATACATAAAAGTACTAAAAAGTTTAAAGAAAAAAACTCTATAGTTTCTACTTCCCATAAACAGCCATTATTAACATTAGGACAACATAATTTCAAGCATTTTCTATACATATGTAAGATAGAGAAGAAAATTAAAAATTATACAAATAGGATCTTACGTAAGAACTCAGGTTCTGGTAATATTGTAGTCTAGATAACTTGAAATAAGCTCTAGCTATAAATATCTGAAGATACTAGAAGAAAATGCAGAGTAATATAAATCACCCTTTCAAATGACTAGTTATGCTCACAAGAAAATAAAGGAAATCATTAGTTGCCACATTAATGACAGAACTGAAAACCAGGGTGTCAGGCATATGAGATGACACAGCGACTTCCTAGAAGGGTTGTTGATCTTGGAGAGAATTATTATTTTGTTTGTTTGCCTTACTCGTTTGGTTACCACCCTTTTTTTCCTACTATTCAAATAATTTTTAATGAGATTTTTAAATAGCTCATCACAGAGTCAAGTTCCTGAAAATTCTTTCTTAGTCTAGTAGTTGAGCAAATTGAGGACCATTACTTTGAAAGTATTTGCAAAAGAAATATAAATGACCTCTGACCCGATAAGTGAACCACAATCACAAGTCTGGGTCCAACTGTGTGTTCACTGTTACTACAGAACATGGAATGTTAGTGACAATACTAATGATCACTTTTAGGGTCTAGGTATGGATAGGAAATGATCCTACCTAGAATTCCTTAAGTCTTAAGTCATATTCTTCCATGAAAAAGTCACTAAAAATCCTCCTGCCACAAACTCAATTGGATTCCAATAATGAAAAGGATTTTCTACTTCCTGTTGTTACTTACAAAAAGAAGAACAAATGGATTAAGGTAGAGAAATAATGTTACAGTTCTTCCCAAAGCAAAGCATGTGTGTCTCATAATGAATTATTTTCCAACTTTGTAGCACTAGTTTAACTCTCTGTTTTACTGGAGAAACTCATTATGGCCAATTTCTCCAATACAGCACAGGTACAGGCTGTACTTGCTCGCTGACTTACCTCCTTGGCCCACGCTGGTTTCTCACTAGGACTCATCCCTTCTTTGTAATGGTACAGTGGCTTCTTCTCCACAGGCCTCTGCTCCTGCCGCTGATGCTGCAGGGAAACCAAGTAGTCTCTCTCTTGCTTTAGCTGTCTCTGTAGTCTTTCTGCTTGTCTCTGTTCTTCCAACTGTTTGCGCTTATATTCCTGCCCAGATCAGGAAAGGAGAACAAAGAAAAGGCTAAATCACCATACGGAAACCATTGGCCAGTACCAGTGAAGCATGCAATGGAACCAAAAGAGATGATAAATAACAAAGGACCTTAATACCAACAGAACCACAAGAGGACATCAGGATGTGCCATAGAGATGAACTACAGCCTTGGGTTAGCGTCTGCACAGAATGTGGCATTTAATGAAAACACCACTGTTTTAACGGCAACCCCTGCAGAATACCACCCTTTGCAAAGTGACTTGCCCTTGGTGAATTGTAACCAAGAAAGTGGCAATAATGAGGACATATGGATGGTCAGCACGCAACCCCTATAAGGAACCGTCCACTTCCTGGTTTAGTAATTAAATCGTTCAAACATGTACAATTAAAAAAAAAAAAACATGTACAATTAAGTACAAAACGAAATAAGTACCTAAAGATACTGCCTAAATCATCTTTTGTTTAACAAAACTTGGACCAACGAAACCATTAGCAAAAACCACGTACAGGCTAAAAAAATATCACAGTGCCACTGAATAAAAAGTTCAGTTAAAAAAAAAAGATACACCAAGAAGCTCATTTGGAGAGCAGTGCAGTAATAATAATAAAAAGTACTTCAAGTGGAAGCCGTCTGAGCAGGGCACACAAAATGTTCCCATCATAAGGGTAAAACTAATAGTCTGCAAATGAAATATGACTACAGAGCTGAGCGGGTTCTTACGGAAGAGGAGCGCTTTGCTGTGATTGTATTCCAGCATGTTGCAAACGACCTCAAACATTACTCTGCAATAAACACAGTGGGTCTCAAAAACAGTCTGAACTTATAATAAGGCTGGATTCATGTTAAAGTTTCACAAATAGCTGGAGTTAATAAAGAATGCATAACAAGTATATTAAACACATTGACTCAGCACACTGGGTCAGGAAACGAATTAAGTTTTAGGAGATTTTCCAGGTCCATGAGGCTTGGAGGATCCCCTCCTTCCTGACTGGCAGTTAGAGGAGACCACACACATACACACACACACACACACACGCGCGTGCGATGAACACAGAGCAGGTCAGCTGGCTTGGCTTTCCCATTACCAGAAGTAGAGCTTGTTCATGCAGTAGCTGCTGCTGCAAGATCTCTAACTGTCTCTGCTCCTCCTCTAACTGTCGCCTGATGTACTCCTGGAGAGGTAGGTGGCAGAGAATTCAGAGGAACACAACGAGAGAAAGAAAGAGAGAAAAAGAACCGGTAATTTCAAAGGTGACAAGAGCTGCCAAGTGAAGTGTGGAAGGAAGGAGGGGAAAAAATACCCAGACGCCTCCTCGCTAAACAGGAAAGGTACCCCGCACCGAAGCAAAAGCGTTTCAATGCAGTCAAACGCACAAGCCCTCTACCTGCAACTGCAGCGGACTGAGATGGCTCAGTGCTTTGCTGTTAGTTACTCTTTGGTTTGGAGAACCGAGCTCTATTTAAAAACTTTTCATGACAGGTTCCCTCTTTAGGGGCTACCTGAAATTAACAATGCTATAAAGTTCAGAGGCTCCTGTGCAAGCAGCAGGGGTAAAATAATGGTTGAATGCCATCACGCACTGCCTTTATAACGGAGCCGTCTTGCAGTTCCACTGCACTGTCAGAATGGGATTCTAACAAAGAGAGAAAGGGCCCGCATCGATGGCTCCAAGTCCTGGAGACCAGGGTTGCCTGAGTAGAAAAGCTCTTCTGAAGCAATGAAAGGGGAGCACTTGGCTTGTGTATCACGCGCCAGTGCTACTTTCGAAGTAGATGCCCAGGGTTGGGAAAATCACGAGATCCAGGTGCGTCAGGGGACTTCGGCCTGGGGAGGAAGCCAGGCTGAATGAGTGGGCTTTGCCAAGGTTGTGCGTTTGACTTTTTGAATAGGTGAGAATAGTTGCTTGAGAAAGAGTAAAAACCTGCTTAACCTGAGCAGACCCAAGAGCAGGTGACCCATAGCCCAGAGGCGGCTGGTGCTGGCGCTCCCGTGGGGCCGCCTGTGGGGCCCCAGCTGTACCTGCTCGTGCTCCGCGCGTCTCCTCTCCTCCTCCCGGCGCATCTGTTCCTCGTAGTGCCGCCGCTGCTCCCTCTCCTGCTGCTTCCGCAGCTCCTTCTCTCGCCTTTGTTGCTGTGGGGCGACAAGCAGACAACCGTGAAGGGAACGGGCAGTGGCGAAGGGTGTCGGGAAGCCAGCAGGGAGAGCTGCAGGACCGTGGTTGTGAGCTCTTAGCGACATGCCTGCATGCCTGAGGGCTCCTCGCCTATGCCATTGGGGGACGCATTGGCCAGGATGGGCTGATAGAGAGCAATTCGGTGTTTACCACGCAGGTGGGCTCCCCAGGTTTATACGTCTCCCAAGAAGTTCACATTCAATGCGTCCTCCCAGTGGGCTGATGAGGGTTTCCAAATCAGGGGTAGGTAGAACACGGATGTATAATCAGTTACTTATTATGTATCATCAAACTGTTTGTGAGATGCTACAGGCTTTAAAGCACATTCGCAATGTTCATGCCATTCAGTCTTTTGGACACCATGTAGGGCAAATGTATCAAGAAAGCAAACACCAGGGGCTTCCCTGGTGGCGCAGTGGTTGAGAGTCTGCCTGCCGATGCAGGGGACACGGGTTCGTGCCCCGGTCCGGGAAGATCCCACATGCCGCGGAGCGGCTGGGCCCGTGAGCCATGGCCGCTGAGCCTGCGCATCCGGAGCCTGTGCTCTGCAGCGGGAGAGGCCACAACAGTGAGAGGCCCGCGTACTGCAAAAAAAAAAAAAAAAGAAAAGAAAAGAAAAGAAAAGAAAACAAGAAGGCAAACACCAGAGAAGGGAAGTGACATGTTCAAGGCTACACAGTAACTGTGACTGTGGGCAAAACAGAATCTACTGACTCCCACCTGGTCACTCCACTTTCTGATAGACCCTGCTGCCTTTCTGTTTTGGGGAAGTCACTTTTAAGTGTCAATTTCAACTTGTCACTCGAGTACGATGTTAAGCTCAGGAGCCACCATCATCTCATACAATCATTATGCCTCTGAAAGTGGACGTCACGGCAAGCACCTTTCATGCTTTATCCCATTTCATCTGCACAAAAATCTTTTCAGGTAGATGTAATTAATACTACTATCTCCTATTTTAAATGAGAAAACAGAGGCACAGAGAGATTAAGTAGTTGTCCGAGGTCATGCCCACATTCAAGGTCATACTCAGTAAGCGGTGGAGCTTGATTTCAAAGACAGGCAATGTGACTCCAGTCTGAACTCAATTAATACAGAAGATGAAGAGGCAACAGGAGTGACAGATCATAATTAATCCAGTCCTTCATTATATTCTCAGTAAGGAGAATGTCTTAGGAGTAGTGACTGGAGCCAAGGTTTCCTAGGTAGGGATGGTACCATTCCCCAGTCCTTGGGGCATCTGGCATGTGTGGGACACTCACACATTACAAAGTGTTTCCCCGTACCACACGCCAGTAGTGCCTCTTTTGAGAAACGTTGCAGGCCCTTTGTGTTGGAGCCCCGTACTGGCACTAGGATTTCTTCTTCCTCAAATACAAGGTTCGAGGGGCCGATCAGAGGGTCCATTCCCCTGTAACAGTCTCAACAGCACTTCACTGCCTTGCTGAGGAAGCATGAGGTATCCAAAATAAAATGGGCTGTGACCGTATCTCACTGAGAAGTTAGCTCTATAAAACCTGGGAAACATCTTTCTAGGACAAAAACTCTCTGTCCCAAGCCCAGCTAAACCAACCACAGATAGTCAAAGAGCCAAAGAAGCCCACGAATGAGGTGGCCTTCCTGATGTGGCTGGTGCCTGCAATCCTCCAGACCCGCTCTCTTCCAACAGTCTCTGAGGCTTGGGAGATAAACTGCATCTTTTGAAACTCAATGTCTATCGCTTGCAGATGAAGAATTGTTTGTCCACCTTAGATTGTAGGCCATGGGGAGCCGCTGGAAGTCTATATGCCATCAAATGCCATGACCAAACCTGCATTTTCAAGGGGGCCCCTACCCACCACGGGATGGACAGGACTAGAAGCTGAAAATGCAATGTGAGGCCATTCTATGGATCCAGACAGAAAATGACAGGGCACCCATGAGCTAAGCAAAGGCAGCTGGAGAATCCATGTTCGTAATTGCTGCTGAGAGGCAGTCAAAAGGAAGAAAAACTAAAAACTATCCGGATTTCCAGTCATTCCAACGGGACTGTAGTGGACGCCAACTTAGAAGCAGAAATTAGAATTAGGCCAAAAATAAAACGGGCAGAATTTGATGACTATGGGGTGCGTGAGGGTGAGTGGTGAGTGAAGTTCCTGCCCCAGGAGCATGGCAGGTGGTGTGATATACAAGTTTAGGGATGGGAATGAGGGGTGTGCTGGGGGGCAGGGATGAGTCAAGTTCCAGACACGTGATTATTTGTTTTACAGAAAAATAACACAGGAAGATGCGAGTAGAAAACATCATCATAGGAACTGACTGAATAATTTGGATTACAGACCCAAAACAGAGATATTTCCAACACTCAACCGAAGTGAATCAATGTCAGCACAGAGAATAAAATAATTATGTGTACAGATCTGGCTCCTGGCAGGAAACAGCCCTAATTTAGCTAACATTTCAAGTTTTTTACTCCCACCATCAGTCTCCTTGAGGAAAAAATAGAATCAAGGCTTTTGAAGATTTAGCTGATTTTTATGTGAAGGATTTGTACATTTTCAACCCCCTTTCCAGGAATCGATACTGTTTTATAATTACAGGCCACTCAGGTCCCTGTGCAAGGTGTACATAGTGTTGACTGCAACTCAGGAGAGTCTGGGCTTCCCAAGAACTCTGCAGTTTCTGAAAAAGACACTCTAAAGTGACTAATAATTAATAATGATCTCATCTGGATCAGCTGCTGCTAAGGCATGGAGGCATCTGCCAGGGCCTTGGTTCCTGTGGTGAGGCTGGAAAAATAAATCACTTCCCCAACCTTGCGGAAGGCACCTCGCCAATTTCTAGCTGCTGTGCCTCAGTGTTAATCACCTTTCCAGGAAAATTGTTTGCTCTCTCTCCTCCTGGCTGTGGGACTGTTTGAGGGGACATATCAAAACATGTCAGAGAAAGACCAAGTCCCTGGCCTCAAGCAGACACCTTTACAAAGCTCTGATGACTCTTGCTAGAAGTAGCAATCTGAGACAAGGCCTGTGCTTGACCCCCACTGGACCCACCAGCCCCTCACGGGGGGCCTAGCACCTGGCAGGTGCAGAGATTTTGTTCAATTGAACCGAGTAAGAAACTGGCAGCAAAAGCAGACAATTCAGTACCATCCTAATTTTTTTTCGGCAGGGGGGTACATTTCCCTTCCTATCAGTGCTTATAGCATACCATGCCTTATGTTATGGTTATGTGAAATGTCTCATTTATTCTGCAATCTAGATCGTGGGCAGGGTCTCTGCTCTACTCTGGTTTTTACCTCTCACTATATCCCATAAAGGGCCTGATACCACTGATGTTTGTTGTTTTATATACTATAGATGGGGTAGCAAGAGAAAAGGAGAAAGGCTCACAGAACCTCAGACCACCCCTTCACCCTTTGATGCCCTCCCGGCCCAGAATATTCTTTTATGCTGAGCATAGACAAGGCTTGGAGTGTTTTTCTAAAAAGAGAGCCACCCACGATTGGCACTGGCATGGGATTTATTTTCTATCTTAGAGAAAGGCAGGAAAAGAAAATAAGGGAATAGGAGTCTAAGCTGGATGGAGTAGAAAAGGGAAGAAATAAAAATTTTTCTAGGGACTTCCCTGGCAGTCCAGTGGTTAGGACTCCAAGCTTCCAATGCAGGGGGCCCAGGTTCGATACCTGGTCGGGGAACTAAGATGCCATATGCCACGCAGAGTGGCCAAAAAAAAAAAAAAAAAAAAAAGCATAAAAAAAAAAAAAAAATAAGATAAAACTCACAGCGCAAATAATTCCGAAAGAACTTTCAAAAAAAATTTCTAAATGTCACTGAGTTACGCAGAAAGATGACAGTGGTTCTGTCAAAAAAGAATAGCTTAAACCAACTACTCTAAACTCTTAGCAGGAACTCCCCACTCCCCCGCCCCAAATATACTGAACTCCCTAGAAGTACATTTTCATCCACAACTTCTTGGAGCCATCTCCAAAAATTACAGCACATAAAACTAGACATTCAATAGGTTCTTACAAGTTTCTTAATTTTTTTTCTGGTTGGGGAATGACTGATAATACCTACTATGAAACTTTTCCAGGCTAAAATCATTGTTGCCTTGATCTATGGAATAGATCAAGGGGTCTTTTTGTCCCTTTGCCTTCTACTGGTGTTCCTAAAGAATGATTCTTTTAGGACAGTTTTTATCTTCCCCAGTGGGTGCTCCCCCCAGGCCACGGCCAGGTGAAGGCTGTGTGGCTGTACTTTCAAGTATGTTCATTTTAATGGAGGAAATAATCCTGTCCCCTTCAGCTCGTCAAGAGCGTATTATCTTAGCCCTTAACTATTCAAATTGCATTAAAGTTGTGACAAATAATACACATGGGTGTTCATCACAAAGGCCATGGAGTTGCTCCTTCTTTCCTTTTATTCCTTTAAATGTTCTTTTTGGATTAAGTTTAACCAGTAGAAAGATGTGTACTGCACCAGGGTGCTCTGGCCTCGTAGAAGTGACTTTGATGACCTGTTAGGACATGAATTGCATTTTACAGTATTATGAGAAGAGAGGAAAAAAGCTAAGAAGTGCTGAGTTTATCCATATAAATAACTCAGACGTTATTCCTAGCACTATTCAACCATTCCCAGGCGAGTGCACGGGGTTTTTTTGCGGTACGCGGGCCTCTCACTGTTGTGGCCTCTCCCATTGCGGAGCACAGGCTCCAGCACAGGCTCCAGCCGCACAGGCTCAGCGGCCATGGCTCATGGGCCCAGCCGCTCCGCGGCATGTGGGATCTTCCCGGACCGGGGCACGAACCCGCGTCCCCTGCATCGGCAGGCGGACTCTCAACCACTGCACCACCAGGGAAGCCCAAGTGCACGGGTTTTCAATGATCTCGGAAAGCTTGCCTGAGCAATGGGTCTACTCTAATCCGGACAACATGAATCTTGACCCATTCAAGTCTGCCTGTTTCCTTAGCTGCTAA